ATTCATTCATTCATTCATTCATTCAATCATTTATTTCAGTTCCCACAATATCTCAGTAACCAATCATTAATTTTAATGGTGCTTCATGATAATGTGCAGACCTGTTAAAGTTTCAGTGGAAATCTGTACATGTTACTAATATATAGTGTTATACTCTGAAATGAAATGCTTTTTTTCTCAAAGAGAGAGCCTGTTACCAAGTATCCTGATCAGAAACATATACCTATTCAGGACTAAAAATAAACTCTTCAGGTAAACTCAGCAAAGCACAGGAAGATAGTGGACATGGAGCAACAAAAGCACTATTCAAAATGAAACATGAAAATAACATTCCAATAAACATAGTTGAACTCTGGTGACCTTGCCCTTTGTTATATAATATTATTTCCTATCATAGTTTGTTGAAATATGAATATGCATTGTCATAATCAATTTTGAATACAAACAACTTTGAGGATTGAAACAGCAGTGGAAAAGCAGTCTACCAAAAGTCCTTGATTGGTGTAAATATCTTACAAAAACATTGGTGTCTAATTTGTTAAATTATTTTAAGGGCCATAACTTCCAGTTTTATTCAACGTAATTCAGATATATTAGTATAAAAACAAATGCCTCATCTCAGAAAAAAAAATGCTGCATTTAGACATGAAGGGATTCTTAAAACATGCGAGAAAACAGAAAATCTTAGCTTGTTTTAGCCTAAGGATTTTGTACGGGTATCTGTCAAAAATTTATTATTTACTGAGACAAATATGAAATGTGTGTGACCGAGACGAAATTGAAGATGAAAAGCATTTTCCGCTAACTGCAAATTGTATGAAAATGAAATAAGCCAGCTAAACACTGAGTAAAAAATATTACTGCCAAACACTACAGATAAAGAAAAAAAATGATAGCAATGATGAACATTAATGATAATAAAACAATTATAAAACTTGCTTAATACATTTATATTGTTACATATATATTGAGAAATTTACATGAGAAAGCCTCCATTGTCATCCAAATGAACCACAAAATTCTATAAAGGATATGATATCAATAATTTCAAGTTTATTATTATCATTATTATATATGTTGTTGGTTTTACTTTCAAACTTCAGTTATTTATTGTGTTATATCTTATGAACAGGAGTTGTATCCAGAATGGCAAACAAACCCAAAAGAAGATCCATTATGGACCCGTTACTATGGTGATAGTTTATCTGGTCTTATAAACAATGGTCAGCACGTTAGCATTGATGCCCATATATTGTCCACACCTGTCATTGCTGACTTGAATAACGATGGAACAGTAGAAGAAATGGTGATATCTGTCAGTTATTTTTTTGATACTGAGTTTTACAGGTTAGTTGAAGGGCGATGGTTGCTGCTCCATGTATGTACCAGATTTGTGTTGATAAACAACCCATCAAGCTCTACTTGCAGTTTATTATGGCCGCAAGTAAGTGTGTGAGTTTTGAGCTTGACGACATAGATGCATTTTTTACTGCTGTTAGGAACAGCAGCTGCCCCTTTTTTGTGCAACACTCTAAGTTGTTGCCACATGAAACTTGATTCAATTATCCAGAAAAAAAGAAAAAAATTTGCATAAGAGAATGCAAGTAGATTTGATAATATCTTATTTACTATATAGAGGATCTCCAATGAGTGACTGTGTAATATCGTATTTACTATATAGAGGATCTCCAATGAGTGACTGTGTAATATCGGATTTATTAAACAAGTGTAGTAATTTTTTATATGTTCCAAAACTCTGGCGAGAAACATATGAAAATTGCTACACATGTATTTTTTTTTTGTAATTCAAAACCAAATGTTTACCATCGCCAGCAGCCGACATTGACAACGCAAACCCTGGATGCATTGATTCGGTCGAACAAGTAAAAGTGAAGAGTCATTGAAGAGACAAAACTTCAAGCGATCAAAAAGAACTTTTAATAAAAGTTCAAACACCAAACTACTTAGAACACAAATACACAAATTACATTATTTTCAACTTAAACACTTAAAGCGAAAAACGAAAGCAGTAAAAATTATTAAATACGTCAAAAAGCTGTAGGAACTACAAGTATTTATCAGGGGTTTCCCTGTCACTCCATGACGTCATTGACATGGTCCATGAGGTCAAACGTAGAAATCAATGCTGTGTCGATTGAAAGTTATTATTTAGTTCTCATCTGATGACTGAAAAGAATCGATTACATATATCCAACGTCTTTTCGGTGAAATTGTTGAACCATCATTGTTGGCAATGTTGTAATGTGCGTGTACATTGTATACTCCTCCGGAGATGGGGCCTCCAAATATCGGTGTTGATTGTGAACTTAAGGTCGAAGTATGATGGCTGATATTAGTTGATGTTAACTGGGACAGGAAGTTACTTTGCGATTGGGGTTGCATAACAGAAGGTATGGATGGCTGTATTGATGTTTAGCACGGGTTTGATGTACTACAGTGAGGGGTGGCTTCTAGAATACTTAAGATGCCAGAAATTTCTCTGTGTTGGTTTTCTGATATGTAGTGCTGTAGGCATTGACGGACTGAATGTTACGATGACCGGAGATCTGCATTATTTGTGTCGGTGGTATATTTTGGTCACTTAATTTCTGGATGAGATGCTTTCTGGCACTATGATTTGTGAGGAATTTGTTTGAGGGTAAATTTGCTGCAGTTGCCATATACAGGGGGTCGAGTTGTCCAGGGTCTGGTTGTCCGGGGTCTAGTTGTCTTGGGGTCCAGTTGTCTGGGGTCTCGTTGTCTAGAAACCCGCGAGAATACGTGGCGATGTAGTATGGGTCATCACTATTTGCCTAACCAGCTGGTCGTAGAATGAGGTATTTTTAGCTCTGCTGTCGACTTTGTCAAACGGAGCTTATCATATGAGTGATTGTCCGTCGCCATCCGGCGTCCGTGTCAATGTTTTACTTTTTCGACTTCTTCTTGAAAACTACAAGCCTGATAGATAGATACTTGGTGTATATGTACCTTGGGTAGACCTCTCTTAGGTTTGTTCATTTCATGTTGATATCTTCAATTCTCCAATTTTGGTGAATACTTTTGTCATTTTTTCGACTTCTTATTAAAAACAGCAAGTCCAATTGCTTTGATATTACTAATATAGATACTACATGTGAACCTCTCTCAGATTTGTTCATTCTGTAATGATATCTTTAATTCTCTAATTTTGGTGAATATTTTTGGTAAAAAGTGATATTTTCGACTTCTTGTTAAAAACAGCAAGTCCAATTGCTTTGATATTACTTATATAGGTACTACATGTGAACCTCTCTCAGGTTTGTTCATTTTGTAATGATATCTTTAATTCTCTAATTTTTGTGAATATTTTTGTAATTTTTGGTAAAAATTGATATTTTTGTCCCATTGCTTGATACTATACATATTGTTCATTTTCTAATGATATCTTCTGTTCTTTAATTGAAATGTGCATTGCTAACAACGGAGCTATCTCAGCCGACAGGCTGCTTGTTTAAAAATAGCAACTGGACATCTTTTGGGATTCGTAGGGACATCCCACATCTTTGGTTGGCTTCACCTTTCTGGTATCACTTGGATTTTCTCCAGTTTCAGTTTGCCGTTCAGAGAACTCAAGATATTTCCGTCTACTACTATCAGTACATCTATCAGCTCACATCTCCCCAACACATGTTACGGTGCTCAGTATTACCCCTCAGACCAAAATGTACTGTGTTATAAAACCACATGGTATTTATTATGGCTTCAGGACTGTGGGCCCCAAACTGTCTCGATTCCCAGAGAATTTGCATAGAATTGTTTCCAGTTCATTTGGAGGGATTTCATGGATTTATCTAGCTTCGTTTTTTTTTTGGTGTCTTAAAAAATTGGCCCAGTAATCTTGTATCATATAGCGTTCGCTTGGCTGTGTTTTTAGTCCCTGTTCGGACGTAGTCTGAAAACGGGGACTTATGTTTTGCCCTGTGTGCGTCCGTGCGTCCTTGATCACCTGTATTTTGAACATGCATGGACCGATTAAGTTCAAACTTCACTCATACATCACACATTCTATGGGACATATGCACATCCATTTTTTTCATGATCCGATTAACGTTAGCCGAATAGCGGCCATTTTTAGGCCGAAAATGCATCAAAATCGCACATTTTCACCATTCTGGACCCGGATCTCAGTTATGCATGGACGGATTTTGTTCAAATTTGGTACATACATTAAACATAATAAGACCTTGATGCACGGATCGGGTTTGAAATGGCCGACTGGCGGCCATTTTGTTTTAAAGAATTCAGTTCTGGATCCGTATCTGAGACATGCCTGGATTGATCGAGTTAAAACTTCACACACACAAGGTACATCATGTCACAAATATGTATGTGCATTTGTTTCATGATTTCATTAACGATAGCCAAATGGCGGCCGCTTTAAGGCCGAAAATGCATTAAAATCGCACATTTTCACCATTCCGGACCCGGATCTCAGTTATGCATGGACGTATTTTGTTCAAATTTGGTACATACATTAAACATGATAGGACCTTGATGCACGTCATTTTTTTTCCAGATCAAGTTCGAAATGGCTGACTGGCGGCCTTGATGCACGGATCGGGTTTGAAATGGCCAACTGGCGGCCATTTTGTTTTAAAGAATTCAGTTCTGGATCCGTATCCGAGACATGTCTGGATTGATCAAGTTCAAACTTCACACACACATGGTACATCATGTCACAAATAGATATCTGCATTTGTTTCATGATCCGCTTAACAATAGCTGAATGATGGCCATTTTAAGGCCGAAAATGCATCAAAATCCTGTATTTTCACAATTCTGGAACCGGATCTCAGTCATGCATGGATGGATTTTGTTCAGATTTAGTACAATGTGTTGTACATATGCAGGTGCATTTCGGATCAGACCACTGAAAGTGGTCTGAGATTTCGGTCATGATCTGCTTTGAAGGTACAAAATGTATATGTCACTCAAATATGAACGAAACGGGGACGTGTCCTTGACAATGACTTGTTGTTTTGTTGGGTTTTGATTGTTCTTCTGCCATTGTCATTAGTGTCTGGCACAGTGTCTGACCTCGGTGCCGTCGCTGTCAATGATCTATGCTGTCGCTTCACCCAAGGAAGCATTTTCTGTGATGAAAAGAAATGTTACATTTGTTATTATAAATATAAAAAATAAATTCATGTTGTGGAATCATTTTATTTAGTACTCGCAGTATTGTGATGTATTTTTACTCATTGCATTATGTGATCATATGATACGCCGAGTGATCATGATCTCAGTTTATCAGATCTGACGAAAGAAAAAACGTTAACGTACCTTCACTTGGTCTTTCTTGCTCATCATTCATAAATTCTGTCACGTCTATATCAAAAGTACTGACTAAGTCACCCATATATATCATGATTTTGAAGGTTTGATCAGCTGATTGTTTGTTTACTTTGAGATGCAAATTTGTATGATTGACAGCAGACGAAACATTATCATGCCTGAACTATTTTCGGGTTCGGAGAATTGAGACTGTGATTAATATCTTCAACATTTTGTTTATTTAACAGTGATAAAATCAGAGATTGTATAGCATCTAAAAATAAGTATAATATATCTAATAATTTCTACATAATTTGTCATTAAAATTTGCCTCATCATAAGTGTTGCATAATTTAATACTAACTTTGCTGATTAGGTCAAAGGTGAAATTAGCTGTATTGGTCAATCACATCACAGATTTAAAGTGTGACGTCACTTTCAAAGTGTGTAATACCAAAAATATCACACAGGTGTTATTACAAGAAAAGTGCATGATACATGTGATAAATTTTTGTCTCCCAGTTTAGTTTCTTTCTGTATACAACCTTGTAGATTTAGGCAATTATAGTGTGGAATTGATATCAGATATTTATTTATTAAGTAAACTATTTAAAAGTCTTTTTCACCACTCAATTTATTAACTATGTGCAGTTCACCAGAAAACTTGGAAAAATTGCAGCTTTCAACTGAGGAACTTGACTATTATATCGTTAGCGGAATCGTCATTTTCAATCTGACATCAAAGCAGTTGGTCAAACAGATACCACTAGCACTCACAAAGGTAGGATATTACTATATCCAAATATGTGGCTTTGATAACCATGTACACTGTACTGTAATATCATTACATGGGTTTTGTCAAGTATTCAAGCTTAGTGCAAAGTATTATGTATGATGAAGAAAAAAATTAATTAAAATCTGTATTACGTAACATGTTTTGAAATGCATGTTATCAGAACCACTCAAATATTGTTGTTGACCTTATCATTAACTATACAATGTATATAGATTGTTGTACTCACTCACAAAAAAATAAACATGGCTGTATCCATGGTAACAAAAAGTATTGCTCCATTCAGCTCTCCTTGTCATATAATGGTGATATTAATAAAAAAATTGTTCAACTTAAGACAACAATTTCACATTTGTTTATGTTTGTCTTAAATTGAACAACTTAATTAAAAATCATGTTATTTAAGACAATTGAAATATAAATTTGTAATTGATGTGTAATGTGGTGATCTTAACTGCGGTGTTGAAGGAGGATGTTGTCATGCATTCAACTTGACTGTCATCATCTGTAGGCCTCATCTGAACATGCAGCATATGCACTCTTCTCGCCAACACTGGTTGATCTGGATAGTGAAGGAGGCCCTCTAGAGATCATTGTTGGTATATTGTCAGGTCAATTATTTGTCATCAACAATGAGGGCAGTATTAGACCGGGGTTTCCTAAAGTATTTGGACCAATACATGGACAGGTATGCATGTCAGTTTTTTGTTGTAACTGCACTAATTTATTAGTTCCCGTTTGGACGCAGTCCAAAAACGGGGACTTATGTTTTGACCTCCGTGTGTCCGTGCGTGTGTGTGTGCGTCTGTGCGTGCGTCCGGACCTGTATCTTAGAAATGCCTGGACCAATCACAATCAAACTTCACACATACATCATACATGATATTATACATATGCACATCAATTTATTTCTTTATCTGATTCAAGATGGCCGAATGGCGGCCATTTTTGTGCTAAAAATCCTAAAAATCAAGCATTTCTCGTCTGTTTAAAGATGGATTTTGTTCAAACTTGGTATATACATTAGACATTATGGGACCTTGATGCAAATAATTTTGTTTTTCAGATAAGATTAAAAATGGCGGCCATTTTGTTTTAATGAATGTGCCTTGGCTCTCGTGCCATATCTCTGACTTGCTTTGACTGATTATGTTCAAATTTTAAATATTCATTATACATCATGTCATAAATAGACAGACATATTGGTTTGACGATCCTATTTAAAATGGCCAAATGGTGGCCATTTTTGTGCTAAAAAATCATCAAATATCAAGCATTTATGGATGGATTTCGTTCAAACATGGTACTTATATTAGACATTACAGGTTCCTGATGCACATAATTTATTTTTTCAGATTGGATTCAAAATGGTTAACTGGCGGCCATTTTGTTTTAATGATTGGGCTTCTAGAGCCATATCTCTAAAATGCTTTGACTGATTATATTCAAATTTTATATATTCGTTATACATCATGTTATATATATACATGTATTCAAAATGGCTGATTTTGAATGCTGTTCCAGAGCAATATCTCTCAATATGGACAAGTACTTTTTTGACAATCAGATACAAATGTCAATCATTTTAATGTTAAAAAATCATATTTCTGACATGGTTATATTCCAGCTATATTACTATAAACAAAACTATATGTCTTAAATTTGATAACTAACAGGGACTGTGCCATGCATGGCTTGTTATAATTAAACATGGTCTTTTGTTTTATTTATTGATAATATTTATATGTAGTTTCATGAGCTGAAATTTATAATGTCACCTGTATGATCAGATTACATGTCTATCATAAGATCAAATAAATTACTAAACACAGATAAAGAGATATAAGTTTGTAGAATATGTGATGCAGATATTTGCTTTAGATTGACATGAATGTCACATCTTGCATATTTTACAATTTATACAAGTCAATTAAGCCTGTTAGTGAAAACTGGGATTTATGGATTGACCTTTGTGCATCTGTGTTTCCGTGCGTGCATGCGTGTGTCCGAACCTGTATCTTAGAAATGATTGGACCAATCACTATCTGATTCAAAATAGCCAAATGGCAGCCATTTTTGTGCTAAAAATCATCAAAAATCAAGCATTTCTAGCATACCCGAATTGTAGCTTGGCATTTATGGATGGATTTTGTTCAAACTCGGCACATACATTAAAGATTATGAGTTCCTGATGCACATCATTTTATTTTTAGATCGGATTCAAAATGGCTGACTGATAGCCATTTTGTTTTAATTAATGCGCTTCTGGAGCCATATCTCTGATATGCTTTGACTGATTATGTTCAAATTTTATATATTCATTATACATCATTTTATAGATATATAGATGTATTCAAAATGGCTAACTGGTAGCCATTTTGTTTTAATTAATGCTGTCCAAGAGCAATATTTCTCAATATGGACAAGCACTAATTTGACGATCAGATATAAGATGTCAATCATTTTAATGTTAAAAAATATAATCAAGCATCATCTTCTGGATCCATACTTCTGACATGTTTATGTTCCAACTATATTAGTATAAACAAAATTATATATCTTATATATGAATGGCTTGTTCAGATCAGTATTACCGGTATAGATGCCTGTTGTAACTATAGTAATGTTTGATTGTGTGAACAGTAACTTAATAACAGGTCTCACACTACAATTAAATTCCCCACAGATAACAATGTACAGGCCTCACACTACAATTAAACTCCTCCATAGACAACAATGTACAGGTCTTCACACTACAATTAAACTCTCCAGTAGACAACAATGTACAGGTCTCACACTACAATTAAACTCTCCATAGACAACAATGTACAGGTCTCACATTACAATTAAATTCCCCACAGACAACAATGTACAGGTTTCACACTACAATTAAACTCTCCATAGACAACAATGTACAGGTCTCACACTACAATTAAATGCTCCATAGACAACAATGTACAGGTCTCACACTACACTTAAACTCTCCATAGACAACTATGTACAGGTCTCACACTACAATTAAACTCCCCACAGACAACAATGTACAGGTTTCACACTACAATTAAACTCTCCATAGACAACAATGTACAGGTCTCACACTACAATTAAATGCTCCATAGACAACAATGTACAGGTCTCACACTACACTTAAACTCTCCATAGACAACAATGTACAGGTCTCACACTACAATTAAACTCCCCACAGACAACAATGTACAGGTCTCACACTACAATTAAACTCTCCATAGACAACAATGTACAGGTCTCACTACAATTAAATGCTCCATAGACAACAATGTACAGGTCTCACACTACAATTAAACTCTCCATAGACAACAATGTA